TATAGAGACGAGGCTTTAAACAATCAAATTTGAGCCTACCTCGAAAATTTCACTAAAAGAGGTTGTTTTGATGCCCAAATATCTTCAAATTGATCATCTTGACATAAAGAAGCATGGACACGAAAAAAAAATGGATTCAAGTTTTGAAAATAGTGTATTTTGTAATACATTTTTGGACCGTCAATTTTCAAGGTTTTCAAGTTTTCATAGATCTATCGATCTACACTATTTTTGAAGCTTTAAACTGTATAAATAAATATAAAAATATTTTTAAGTCTATCACAAAGAATTCCAATGTTGAAGCCACATTTTTCGGTACTATTTGAAGGTAGGCTCTAATTTGATTGATTAGAGCCTAGGCTCTATACAAACCGCACCTTATATATATATATATAGAGAGAGAGAGAGACTACGCAACACCTATAGGCAAAATGCTACTGTGATTTCGCTTATAGGCTCATCACCATCCAAAAAACTCAGATGGCAAGAATAAAATGAACGCCGCGGAATTTAGTATGTCCGTGGCGGTACCGTCACGGACATGCTAGGTCCGTGATGGTCAAAAATTCACACAGAAACATCACGGACATTTTGCGAGTCCGTTCAATAAATTCCACGGACATAGCAAGTCCATGACGAGGTGAAATACTATTCATTTTCGCCTAGACATTTATAAGACTTTTCCATAAAAGCCAAGATGATCAATTGGAGGATTTTCAGTATCATAACAACCTTTTTTGTTTGTTTTTTAAGTTGCGCTTCACTTCAGTATCATAGCAACATATCTTATATAAACTTACGATCATGAGTATATGGATCATATTTACTCACTCCATCATTGTCCAACCCATTGAATGGACGATGATAAGGCATGTCCTTGACCATATCGGTGATGCTCTACTTCACCAGAGATAAACGTGGAATTTTATGATGGATGTTATAAACAAGAAATGGAAAAAATTGAAATATTTTTTTAGATAGAAAAGGAACCATGCCTGATTGAATTTATTGGAATCAAGTTTAAGCGTAGGTAAGTGGCCTATGAGACCACCGTCTAGCATGAAGCATGCAGGACCCTGATCTTTACCGTCTTTGGCCTATGACGTGTGGCGGAGATGATTCATAACTTGCATCACGGGGAAGGTCCGGAACTCGTGTAAAAAGTTCTCCATCGTCTGTCAATTGCTGATCATATCCACGGTCTGTGATAAGCTGTTGCCGGTGGTGTTCTAGGTCTAAACATGTTTTATGCAAAACTTCGTATCATTTCTCGAAATTTCCAATGATTTGTTAGACTGGTTTTTTTATTTGGTTGAAAATCAATCAAAATCATGTACAGTTTTGGCTAGTCCAAAAAACCTATTTTAACTTGTTAGACATGCCAATAAGGCAATTTTCTTGATAATATGCTTTATATTTTGAATTATTATTTATATTTTTTTTTATTTTTAAAATATAGGCCAATTAGTGATTAATTTTAATTGTACTAGACCCCTCGTGGGTTTGATGACCATTTAGATCCTAATAGCACTATGGCCTGTATGTAATTACATCAATGTGGAATGAATTCCCTCCAAGTAACAACTATTGCTCGTATTATAGATACGAGATTTTTCTTACGGTATTATGTAATACTAACCGTAGATATTTGTGCCCAAACTGGATATTATGTAATACTAACCATAGATATTTGTGACCAAATTGGATTGGCCAATCCAACTTGTTAGACCGCCAATTGGTATTTTGCTTGTCTACCTGAAAGTAAAAATTAGTTTGGTAAAAAAACTAATCATAATCAATATTTGATTAGTTTGAGTCGATTGGATAGATCAGTTTTAAAATGTTCAATTATTCAAATAAAATTGGGCTATTTTATTTAATATATTTTATATTTTAAAGCTTTTATTTATTTTTATTTTTTTTTAAAATCCAGTCAAACTGGTTTTGCCTGACAGCTTGGACTGGCTTTGATTGGAACATTCCTCACATCAATAATACCTCCATTACAATGGTGATAATTTCAATTATGGTGGTCTTCTTATCATGCCATTATTATAGTTGTTGATTCTTACGTCCGCAATAATGGGAATGTACCGGAAACAAAGGAATACTTCCTAAAATTTTGATAAATGATGATAATTTAGGTAAAGAACCATCTTTGTTTTTCATATTTAAGAAGATCAATACTTACTGGAAGATTATAAATCTGTGTTTATGTATGTGTGCGTGATTTTATGCAATAATTTTATAGTAAAATATAATAAAAAATCTTAAAAAACCATGCTAAGGTCATTGTCTGACTTTAGTTTTTAATCAAACACCTTTTTTCGATTTGATAAACAATCACAAAAAAAACATAATTTATAAACATATCTAAAAAAATATTTTTTAAACCCACATAACATATGCCTTCCATTTTCTGAGATGCTTAGATCTAAACTTTAGAATGATTTTTTTTATTTTTCCAAAATTTCTAGTTGGTTGTTATCACTAGATGAACAATGCTAAAGAACATAATATTTATTTTGAATTTGTAAAGGTCTAGATATTAAAATTCACCGAATGGACAGTCTAGATTCACTTTTGGAGGAAAGTCCTTTTAACTATATTGAAAGTGCAAATAGATTATTATTTTTTTCGGATTTGATTGTTGGGATGAATTGAGTGCCTATGTACAATTTGGGGTCATGCAAATGCAATAAAGTTCCCTAAGTTCTCTAGTATGTATTAATTCCAAATTCTATTCTTTCTTGTTTTATAACACATCAATTTCAACATCACTATCTCAGCTACATTCATCTTATAGATATGTTATTTCTTGACTGACCAACATTCCATCTCATGAAGCATGGCTAGTCCAATGGTCATCCTATAAAACTTTCCCTTTAGTTTGATTAGTTTTACAATAATAATGTAAAACTCGGGATGCACATCTCCATATCGCCCACCTAACTGTAATTTTATGTGCGACATCTTTCTCAATCTCTCCATTCTTCTGGATTATCAATGCAAGATATCGAAAATAATTTCTTCTAAGTCTTTCGTGGTCATTAATCTTAACTATGTCCTAGTTTCTATTCCTATTATTACTAAACTTGCATTCTATATATTTTGTCTTAATCTGACTAATTTTAAAACCTTTATATTCTAGAGCATCCCTCCAGAATGCTAACTTTGCATTGCTGCCGCATTTAGTCCCATCAATTAAAACTATATCATCTACGAACAACATGCACCATGGTACCTCATCCCGTAGATGCCTAATTAACTCGTCCATAACCAACACAAAGAGATGTTGGCTCAACACTGACCTTTGATGTAGGCTACTATCGATGAATTATCTTCCGACTAGCACATATCACTCACCACGTCAATATATACTCTAGAGACTCCTTTCTTTTCCAACACGCACCGGTTATGTCCTTAGGTGCCCTATCGAATGCGTTCTCTAAATCAATAAAGACCATGTGGCGGTCTCTTCCCTTCTACCTAAACTTCTCAATCAATTGCCTTAGTAGAAAATAACTTCAATTGTTGACCTCACTGGCATACAACCGAACTGATTTTTTGATACACTCATTTAATGTCTTAGTTGTTTCTCAATCATTTCTCATATCTTCATAATGTGGATCATAAATTTGATCTCTTGATAGTTTGTACGGTTCTATATGTCTCTTTGTTATTGTAAATAAGTATAACAATCTTTTTCTCCATTCGTCTAGCAATTTTTTTGTTTTTACCATCTTGTTGAATATCTTAAGCAGCCAGAATATGCCAATCTCTCCCATGCACTTTCAAACTTTTATTGGGATACTATTAGTTCCTAAAGCCTTTATTATATTCATTGTTCTCAAAACTAAAATTCAAATATAAATTAAGATACCATAATTTTGTGAAATTGAAATTCATGCTTCACCATTTATGTAAGATTCTTATTTTGAAAGAACGTAAATTTGAAACATTAAACTCTAGTACATGTTAAAAAAGTCCTTCCTATAATAACGACGTTTGTTACAAATATTGCGACACAGGTTGTATTGTTAAGGTTACACCGTGACTGCAGTGTCATAACTTTGAGCTGTTCATCCATGTGGAATTGAATGTATATGTGAATGGATTAAGGATAACAAGAGTAAAAGCCAAAGAGTATTAATATTTGAAAATTGAATATTGATAATACATGCCGGCTCAAGCATCTCGGTCAGATTCAGATTACTTGTTTGAACTTTGAAATCAAAGAAAAATGAAAGAAATGTTACATAAATGTCAATTCAAAATAAACTGGATTTCGAATTTGCCAGCACTGAAATAAAGTAATTCCCATGAGATTAGCATAACTTCCCATCACAAAAAGCATGACTTCCCATCACAAAAAGCTGTCCATTCATGAACACATGAACATTCCATCCTCTGCACAATACTCCAAAATTTCACGTAGAAAACACAACGGACAGTCTGAGAGCTCGAACAAACTCCATGGAATGAGCAAAAGCTCTACAGTCTACAGTGTTCTGCCCCCAAATATTTTCGTACAAAGCTAAAATGAGAGCCTGAGAGCTCAAGGGAAACTCAAAAGGAAGAAGCAAAAGCTCTACACTCTACAGTTATCAACCCATTCATGCACAGGGTCTCAATGTTTGTGATCACATGCAATGCATTTCCACCTTACCCCAAGTCGCCCTACAACTTGAGTGTTTTAGATGTTGGGTCTTGGAGCACTGTAATTTTCACAGTATTGACTTACTTAGTGCTGTTTGAAATAACCCAATTTGAATGATTATAGTATCAAAGCTCAGGGCCTCTCAACCACTGGTTTCCCTTTCATCAGGTAGTGAGTGGGAACAATTGATGGCTTCTTTCATCCATGTTTTTATAGGAATCTGAGCTGGCCAAGAGTTGATTTGATGTCTGATTCTAGTTGACCATTTTTTTTCTTTGGAAATAAGTGAAGTGAAGTGCTCTCAATATCAATGTCTTAACTTTTGGTTTATTTTATGGGAAAAGTTTATATAAAGTTGCAATCTTAAAATGTAGAATTACATATGCACCTTGAAAATCTATCGGAAAGGTTGTTTTAATGTGGGAAAGCCCTCTATTTGATCATCTTCACATCGAGATGTATGAATATAAAAAAAAAAAAGTTTAGTTTTTGAGTCTAAAAAATAGTGCATCTTACAGCACATTATCTAGACCATCCATATTCAAGATTTTCATACGTTTGTAGATCTCTTTGATTTTAACCATTTTTGGAATTTAAAATTTTCTAATTAGAAATTAAAATAGATTTTAAGATAATCCTAAGATTTTTTTAGAACAAATTACATGTTATGATAAATT